GTAGTAGTGAGTGGAGCAAATGGTTACGGGGATAAAAACTTTGAAACAAACAGTACCTTGGTTTCTTTTATTGGAACTGCTAGCGTCCGAACGTCGGGACCTTCGTACCGCACCTCGCCCCTTCCGCACGGAATCACGCACGCCCGCACAGGAACAGAAATAGAGATTGGACTGTCCTTCCTCCGCTCCTCGCGCACGGAACCTGCCCGCCCCCAAGCTCGCCTGCCCCCCGCGCACTAAACGGGTCGAATAGAAAGGGATTCCCATCCACCCCAACCTCACCCGCCCCCAACGCACTCCCATCAGAAAATTGTTTGCAGCATCAAACAAAGCGCAATGTGAGGTGAAACATCAGAACAAGTCTACTGCAACATCGGAACAAGAGCGTCAGCAACAACACAACAAAGCTACTACAATACGAGATGCAACATCAGAAAAAAATACTAATGCAACAAAGAAAAATTACTTGTTGCAACAGCAAACTAAAGCTACTCCAACAACATAAATAAAGCACAATACGAGATGCAACATCAGAAAAAAGACTAATGCAACAAACAAAAATTACTTGTTTCAACAGCAAATCAAAGCTACTGCAACAACAGAAAACAAAACCGCAATGCGAGATGCAACATCAGAAAAAAAAGACAAATGCAACGAAGAAAAAATACTTGTTGCAACAGCGAAACAACACTACCGCAACAACAGAAACAAAAACACAATGCGAGATGCAACATAAAAAAAAGACTAATGCAACAAAGAAATATTGCTTGTTGCAACAGCAAAACTACGCTATTGCAACAACAGAAACAAAAAGCTCAATACGAGATGCAACATAAAAAAAACTAATGCAACAAAGAAATATTACTTGTTACAAAAGCAAAGCAAGCCTACTGCAACAGAGCTCACCGGAACCCAAGCCACCGCCGCGTCCCTCAGATCTAGATCCAGAGGAGTAGGAGGAGGAGGAGAAGGAGGAGGAGAGCTCAAATCCAGATGAGGAGGAGGAGAGAGGAGGAGAAGGGCTCCAGAGAAGAACCCACCTACCTCGCTGGAAGCTATCGCCGTCGCCCTCCTCTCCGGTTGCATGGAAGTCACGGAGCGAGGGAGGGAGGCAGGGAGGGAGGGAGGGCCAGCTCGGCTGGGAAGCCGCCGCCGCCGTCCTCCTCTTTGGTGGCATGGAGGTCACAAAGGGAGGGAGGAAGGGAGCGCGAACGGGCGGGGCGGCAGCGAGCATGGTGTTCGTCCCGGAGAGCAACAGCGAGCGCAGCAGTGCGGAGGAGCGGAGAGGGGGAGCGTGCGAGTGGAGCAGAGAGTGGGCGCGGGAGGTCACGGGGACAGGACGGGGACTGAATGAATAAGGAGCCGGGGGCGCATCGCTTCGCTTCGAGTCGAATCTTATCCGCGCGTCCCGAATGTCGGACGTTTGAGTCACAGCATTACGGTTCTTTTATTTACCATGTTGGGTGGTCTATATTTATATGCCTCTCACGCTTGTAAAGTTCCACTCCACTCTTATTAATGACGGAGGAAAATTCAGGACCGGACCTCGAACTTGACATGAGATGTCATCTATGTTCCTATACTATCGAAATGTTATTTTTGGTCCTTAAACTTGATTTCGGCTTTCATACAGGTCCAAACGGATCTTAACTTACACTGTACGCTGACATGGCAATATGGGCCCACTCTCATCTTCTCTCCCTTCTCTTTCTTGTCCTTTACTTCTCTCTCCTCTCTCTCCTTGTCTCCTCCTGTCCTCCCTCTCTCAAAGACGCCACCGCGCCGGCTGGGCACCTTCCCCTATCCGAAGATGGTGTCGCGTGCGGCGCCGGGCGACGTCACGTGGCACGAGGGAGGCCTGGCACAGGAGGTCGCGCTCGAGGTCTGGGAAGTTGAGCACAGCGCGCGCGCGCCCTTGATGCTGAGCGCGGCGACGTCGTGCTCGTGCCGCCATCTCCGGGCATGGGAAGGTACCGACGCCGCGGTACGCCGGGGCGGAGCTGGAGCCATCGTCGTCTCGCGGGCGAGGGCACTTGCTGTCAGCGGCAGCGTGAGAGCAGGAGGCCGAGCGTTCCAGTACGCATCGTGGCGCTTGCTGTCCGCGTTGTGTGGCCTGGCCTTGCATGTGGGATGACGCATGATTTCTAGGACCTTGAGGGTTGAGGCGCATGGCGGAGGCCGGAGGGCGCGAGATTGGCTTGGCTGCTCCCTTTCCTTTCTTTTGCTTTCCAATTATAGCGTAGACTGTGTATAAGTAGAAGGCCAATACAATCAGAGAAGTTGCCACGGTTCGTGTGCAGCACCAAACCGAGAAGGTGGGCCGCGTCGTAGCGCTACTACTACGGCAGTCTAGAGATCACGGCGCGCGACGCTGCGCCTCTGCCTTCCTCGTACGAGGCGGCGCTCCGCTGCGACGCGCGGGCCCGGAGGTGGTGGTTGCCGCGGCGACTGCGTACACGGCGCGCGTCCTGGCCGGGGGTCCTCGCGCCCGTGGTGCCCGGCTGCCGGGACCAGGCGGACGCGGACCAGCACGCGCTGCAAGAGGCCGTCGTGGACACGCTGCCTCTCGCCACCGATGCGCCCCTCCTGGCCGTGTTCCTCTGCCGCCTGCCCGCCTCCTACATGCCGCGGTCACTGGGACGCGCGCGCCGTCGCATTCGCATTCGCATTCGCATTCGCGCGCGTGGCCCGTCGTGCACCACGCAAGTCGCGCAGAGCCTTGTCGACCGGCGCGGCAGGGAAACATGGCTGGGGGCCGGTTAAGCTGGGAAGACGAGGAGGTGGTGGACGACGACGACAACGACGAGAAGGACTAGTCCGAGGAGGTGGCGGGCTCGAGCGATGGCTGCTTGTCCCCGGCGGCTGCGGCGGCTATGAGAGAGAGAGGAGAGAGATACAGGAAAAGAAAGAGAAAGGAGAGAAGGGATGACAAGTGGGGCCATAGTGCCATGTCAGCATACAGTGTGAGTTAAGATTCATTTGGACCTACGTGAAACCCGAACCTAAGTTTAAGAACCCAGAAATGACATTTTGAGAGTACAGGGACCTAGATGACATCTCGTGCCAAGTTCGAGGATCGGCCACGAATTTTCTTCTTAACCGAGCTAGAATCTTTTACGGATCTTTGAAAACAGAATTCTCATCTTGACTGTGTTAGGCATTTGTTGGTCTAGCTCTGGCTTGTGTTGAGGACTCAACTTAGCCCTGGATCTCTTAGCCCACTAAAGATTTCCTAAGCTCAAGATATGCGTCCTTGCCCACAAATTCTATAGAAGGGAATTCAAAGATAGGACAGTTGGATGTATTCTTCTTTTCCTAGAGTGAGTTCCACAAGAGATTGTCCTTATCAATCAACCTATTCGCTTGTTGGTTTTAGCTAGGGCTTATCAGCCAATCAACAGTGTTTCCTCTCATAACAAACCAGCACCAGTCAGGCTTATCAGCCCAGAAACCAACCAGTGAACGGGCTCAATATCTTTATGCACACCCTGCTTTGGTTATCCACACCACCAATGCAGCTAATTTCTGATCCCAACTTCATTCTTTTTATTTATATCCACGTTGTATCATTCAGAGTGATCTAGTCCCCACCTTCGTCAGTCTAGTCTTTCTTTTGATTCAACGTGAGCATAGAGGCGCCTACTTTTCGTGAATATGTGTTTTTTCTTTCGAAAGACAAAATAATGGGAGGAGCTGGATGGAGCATTAGTACACTAACTAAAGAGTAAAGGCATTGTGGTGATTGAACATATTGCAGGGCTGGGTAACCCCTTTTCTCTTTGTAAAGATAAAGAAGGACTAATTAAAGAGCAAAGCAACATTGATTTCAAAAAATCCGTGTGCCCGTGCTTTACTTCCACACGGAGCAGAGGTTCAGTCATTCAATACAATTCAATACTTCAAGCATGAATCAGATAACAAGTTCAACAACACGTACAAAAAAAAAAACGTACAAAGCATACGCATGCATGACACATCTAATCTGATAATTTACCATGCGGAGATGGCCATGCTTATTACAAGCGGAAAACAGAACTGTCACTGAACCAGCGGTCAATGAACCAGCGGAGACAAACCATTGCTAAGGTCATGACAAGCGGTGAACTAAACACACATGGACCAATCAAATCATGGAAGGCACGCACATGTTGGCGAACGCGAAACTGAAGAGGCAGCAGACAGGCACTCCAACTCCAGATGCATGCAACTGGCGTCGGCGGCGAGCAGGAATTATTAACGGGATGATGGCTTCTGTGGAATGGACAAAATAAGTAAAAATTATTATTGGAAGCTGATCGGGTGGATAAAAATAGTACTCCCTCCGTACTCGGTTTAGATGTCGTTCTGGACGATAAACAGCTTTGAATGGACACGTTTGCCCCTGGCTCTTCATTGCGCACGCTCGGCCCACCTCCGCTCGACATGGAATGCTCTTCGCTCGAGGCACACTAATCATAACGCTCCCATCCTCTCCCCAAAACTCGCCTCAATAAGCCACGATCCTTCCTTGCCGCCCATGGAGTCCGTTGAGGGCCTGGCAGCCGTGGAGGCGCTGAGTTGACTTCCATGGGCGCTGGAGTCTGGAAGCTGCGCGCCGCTGGACTCCATCGTCGCGCCGCTCGACTCCGACGTCGCGCCGCTGGATAAAAATAGCCATGCAAAATACCCATGCAAATGTCCACAAGCAAAAAATAGTGCCCGGCTAATATAATTAATTAATAATGGAAACTGAAATCGCAAGGTATCGAACCCGGGACCTCACGACTGTTAGCTTATTCCTCGCTGCTCTAGCTGTTAGAGCCTTGGTTGTTTACTCGATACAGATGCACCCGCAACTCTATTTATTAGGGGCAGACATGGAAAAACACCCCCTAATTAATCACTCCTTGGTATGCACAATCCTGTCCAAAACGACATCTAATACGAGTATGGAGGGAGTATACGATAGCTAATATAATTAATTAATAATGGAAACTGAAATCGCAAGACGTACCGATCGATTAACTGGATGATTTATCAATCTTGCGCTTGGGCATGGTATATTCATTCATCTGAGATAGCTCTCGATGACGACCCGCTCGCGGCGCGAAGCGAAAGCTGGGGGAAGCATGGGCTTGTAGCTGCCATGGTGTGGGTGTGTGCCATCCCAGCACAGCTTGTTCCACCAGGCCAGCTCGCCGCTCACCTCCACGGCCTTGTCTGGTTGTTGGTGGAAGCGTGGGAGGTGGCGCAAGCTCCAGCAGCCGCGGACGTGGAGCTCCTCCCACGCAGGCGCGATCAGCATGGGGTTGTCGACGTGGAGATGCTCCAGCAGTGGCAGCTCCTGGAGCCGTATCCTCCGGAGACACGGGAGCGTGTAACCAGCAGTCATAGAAAATTGCCTTGAGGTTGTAGCAGCACAGGATATCCAGCGTCTCAAGGCTTGGTAGCTCACAATTACGTGGAACGATGCCCTCCAACCTCGGGCAGTACTCTAAGAAGAGGTGCTTCAGTGCATTGAAATTATAACCACCACCACTGTAGAAATGTGCATTTTGTAGAGATAATGCAACCCGGTAATGACTGAAGACCTGCACCATCCGATGGCACCGTCGGAGCATGCACTCCTCTAGCTCATCGAAACAACTATAATCACCCAGGCCCAGATCACTGAGACAGGAGACATGAGTATCACCCAACATGCTAATTGATTTGGTGACTTTCAGAAGATATGTCAGACCACGGGGATACCGATCAGCAGCTGAGATCTCCACGTGACGCTTGGTCACCCGAAAGGGAGGTACGTCATCCATTGACACCATAGAGACTCCGTCTGTCAGATACAGACGGTTTACATCAGCGTAAGCTGGTGGTGCCATCTGAACCTTGTTGATCATCACCATGCCCTCTTCATCCTTTAACTTGCTGCTTGTGGACTTGCATGATGTAACTCGAACATAGAAAGTTGTCAAAAGTTCTCCAGCCCTTACTGAATTCATGGTGTCATGACCGAAGCTATAAAACAATCTGGAATCACTTATGCACACCTGAGCACCTTGTGGATGATCCGAATGATTAATGGTTCTGTTTGAGCACTGATCCAAGCAAAACACATCCGGGAGTCTCTGCAGCTTATGCCAAGGAAATCGTCTCAGGGAAGGAACACCCAGGACAAGCAATTTTCTAAGCTTTGGCAGATTAGGGATGCTATCTGGGAGCTCCTTGATAGCCGTAGCAGACAGATCAAGCTCCTCCAAATCACCCACCTCCTTAATACCAATATACTCCAACTTTCTACATCCACGCAAGGACAACCGCTTCATGTGAGGTGCGCCAATAAATGAGAATGATCTCAGGGTTGGATGCCTCTCTAAGGTTACCTCTACCCCTGTAATTGATTCACATCCTTCAATGTGTAAATCGGTCAACCCAGGTGCTTTAGAAAACAACCCTGCTGGTGCAAAAAACAATTCCTTGTTCTCGATTATCTTGGCTGATCCAAGCCTCTTCATTTCTTCAAACATTTGCCCAGGAAAATATTTAATTTGAGTCCCTGTGAGCTCGAGTTTTGTTAAACTAGACAAAGCACCAACGGAAGGTGGCAATTCCTCAAGGTTGGAGCACTTGACAAGCAAGAGCTCTTGCAGATTAGGCATGCTACAGAAGAAGTCGTTGTGGAATGTGTTTATATTTGAGTAGGAAAGATCAAAGCAGAGCAAGTTGAGATTTTTGCTGCTATTGATTTCATTGAGAGTAATTTCAGTGTTGGGGAAGCTGAATGGACTCGTGAGGTTAAAGCAGCCCCTAAGGGAAAGGTACTGGAGTTCTTGGAGGTAGCAGATTGATGGAGGAAGTGATTTTAGTGGAGTGTAGGAGAGATCAACAGCATGAAGACAGGGGAGTTTGGCAAAGAAATGATCGGATTCAAGCTTCATGAGCAACCTTGATTGCTGTGAGCAATGCCTTAAAATGAGTGTTGTTGGGCCACTAGCTCCGTAGCTCAACCATTCCCTGCTTAAATGCCATCCTTGGTCTCCCACATGTGAGATCCATTGCATGTGTTCCAACCTAGGATGGTCTCCGTCGCAAAGTTCATCGGTTGTGTGGTGCTCTGCGATGAGGTTGTGACATGCTAGGAAGTGTGCAGCAGATTTTGTGGCTTCTTCAGCTTCAGTCGTCACAGGAGGAAAGGGGATCTCCAGCAAGGTGTACTCTCGGAAAGCTTCAAGGATGAGATTTCCAACTTGGTATATATCACTGTATTTGCCATCATAACTACTGCCTGTAGTCTCCCCCGTTCTTTCTGTGTCCATGACAAGGATGCCTTGTGCAGACCACTGGCGTATCAGCTCATCTGAAGTAATGTCGGCCAATGCAGCAGATCTCTTCTGGCCTCCATCTCCATGAGGCGATGAACAGTGGGGGGGAAGGAGCTTGGTGGCGTAGTGAAAGCACCGGACAGCCACGTGGTGCCAATATTGCTCGTCTTTGTGGGCGACCGCAGCCAAGATGTACTTGGCCGCTTGATGCAGTGATTAGAGAGTAAGAATCACCATATCATCCCCACTAAAAGATTCGATTAGACAAGGATAATCTGATGGCTGGCTCCTTCCGTACACATCTTGAGTGGTGGTGGATACGCACCAAAAGGAGCCTTTCCACCCAGGGGCAGGAAAGCATAAGCCCTCTGTTGGAGCAGTAAGGTTGATGGGCTTGATGGGCTCGTCGATGTTCTCGACCACCAGCAGGTACTTCTTGATCACTAGCTTTTGGATTATTTGAGGTCCTGCAGCTGCAGATGATGTTGAAAGCTTATCCAGTAAGGACGATGAAGGGTTGAGGCCATAGGTATAGTACCGCAGCTCGTCATCCTCTTCCAAGAGCCTGTCGTATTCTTGGTCGAGTAGCCCGAGCTGCTCCGCCACTTTTATATGCAGCTTGTCATTAATGCTAAGGCTTGTTCTTGCCAGCTGTGCTGCTGCTCGCTTCATGTCCACCTCTATCACGTGGTCATAGGGGCCATATCTCTTGATCTTTAGGAGTACGTCCCGAGTGATGCTTGAGATAGCTCGTGTGAAACATGCTGTGGGTCCGACCCCAACATTCCACATCACCAATCCAAACCAATCGAGTTTTTGTTCCAAGTCTTGAGATATCCATCCAGCCTGGCCGTAAAGATAAATAAAAAGATCGGTTAAGTGCTTCATCAAACAACTTGCGCACTCGAGGTCCGGTTGTTGTGTAATTATGTACTTAGCCATCCTCTTTTTTTACGCTCCCTTTTCTTTATCATTCTCACGTGGGGTCCTTAAATATAGTTTTTTTTGTTAATTAGCGTTAAATTTCTACTCCACGTGGAGTATGATTTTCGACACTCTGTGTAAAGACAAGTAATAAGCAATTGGGTTGAAGTCGATATTAGATGTTCTGAATTATTTCCTGAACATACAAAATCACCCTTTTGAACATGTTAATTTTATGCACAGATCTATTTCCTGATGGTAATAATATTTGCAAGAATGTGGACACATATCTAAGTGAAAATGCTCCCGTTGGTAGTAGACATGGGAAAGATAAGGAGATTATTTCCCCAGTACGCATTATTCCTTTTTTTATATATGCTCATGTAGCATCTGGTTTTAAGAATAAAACCAGATACACACTATATGCAAGTCCAGGAAGTCAAATCTCACATATAGCTACAAATAAAGGTAATATCAAAAGACAATGCTTAAATACATAGCATAATAGTATAAAGATTATAACCTCAGAGTATAGACAGCGTAAAGACAACTCCGATCTTCAGGCGAATACTCCAATGCTGTGGGTCCCTAGATAGCTCGTGTCTCTTGATTCTTACGTCCCGAGTGATGCTTGAGATAGCTCGTGTGAAACATGCTGTGGGTCCGACCCCAACATTCCACATCACGCATTTAAACCGACCGAGTTTTTGCTCCTAGGCCTGATGGTTGGGAATCAGTATTTGATACTGTAGCATTTTCGTTTGTATTTGATAATTATTGTCCAATCATGGTCTAATTAGACTTAAAAGATTCGTCTCGTAATTTATAATCAAATTGTGTAATTAGTTATTTTTTTTATCTATATTTAATACTCTATGCATGTGTCCAAAGATTTGATGTGATGGAGAGAGAGTGAAAAAACTTGGGAATGTAATCAAGGCCCAAGTCTCGATACGCAGGGCTCTTGAGATATCCATCCAGCCTGGCCGCACAAATAGAAACAAAGGACTGGTTAAGTGCATGATCAAACAACTTGCGCTCTCGACGTACGGGTCAGTAACTACGTACTTAGCTATCCTCTTTTTTTACACTCCCTTTTCTTTGCCATTATCACGTGGAGTCCTACATATAGTTTGCTTCTTGTTAATTAGCGAGAAATTTCTACTCCACGTGGAGTACGATTTTCAACACTCTGTGTGAAGACAAGTAATAAACACTTGGGCTGAAGTCGATACTAGATGTTCTTGTTCCTGAACATACAAAATCACCTTTTTGTGCATGTTAATTTTATGGACAAATCTATTTCATGTTAATAATATTTCGGAGTGAAAATGCTCCCGTTGGTAGTAGGCATGCGAAAGATAAAGAAATTACTCTTCCCAGTATCGTGTTATTCTTTTTCTTAAAAAACAGTATAAACGTAGATGCTCATATATATACACGCACGCACACTCATCACTATGAATATATACATGCTTATCCTATCTCTATGAGCACCTCTAGGATAGTGAGCTGAGCCGATAAATCTCAAACTTGACGAGAAGTCAGCATATGCGCTTAATTTGCTGGGCACCTCGTCTACCACAACGTTAATTCATAGAACAAATCCAAAAAAATGTGAGCATATGTGCTATTAAACTCGGTGTTGCATAAGATTACTAATGTATATGATATCGAAGCATTAACAAATTATCTCAAATTATAAGGATTCTAAGTGAATTAACTCTCGCATACTATTTATTAATGTCCCATGCCTCATTCACATGCGTACAGATCTTTAATGTCTATCATGATGCAACTCCATGCTGAAAATATGGTAACCAGAATATCTCACTCTGACCAAGGGTTGCATCATTTGTTTTACCTCTGTGATATGTCATAAAAAATTTATGATACCTTAAATTTCAAAATAGAGAGAGGTATATAGAGAGATCAAGCTAGCGTTCATAAAGTGCGAATGACAGAAGCTTTCTGTAAATTTAAAGAAAACATAGAAATATGTTAAAGATAACATACCAGAAGTTGATACTTCGTAAACGATCACGCCATAAATGCAATGTCTTGGTGTCAACAGAAAATGATGATGCCATGACTTAAGTTTATTTAGTAGAGGACCAAATTTCTCAGTTAACAATACCTATGAGCAACAAAAGTATTTGCATGAGCTTATTAACACGAAAAGATGGCTAAAAGGACTCAAATGCCCATATAATACCAGGAATACAAGTCCATCAACCCGTGCTCTCGCACGGGCTAGAATTTAAAATGATGTATATTTTATTTGATTAATAAAAAATTACTTATACTAAATTGTGGTTGGTTTACCACGTACTTATACTAAAAGGACATCGCTATGGATTTTGTGGTTGGTTACCACGTACTCCTAAAAGAGAGAGATGTTATTTGGGTTGTTGTGGATCGCCTGAGTAAGGTAGCTCATTTTATTCCTTACCGTTCTACAAATTCAGCAAGTGACTTAGCTCCAATCTATATGCGTGAAATTGTGAAACTTCATGGGGTGCCAAAAACCATTGTTTCTGATAGAGATGCTAAATTTGTTTCCAAGTTCTGGGAGAGCTTGTGGAGTGCCTTGGGAACTAATGTGATACTTAGCATTGCTTTTCATCCTCAAATGGATGGTCAATCCGAGCGTACAATTCAAACTTTGGAGGATATGCTAAGGTTATGTGTTCTGTCATGGAAAGGAAGCTGGGAGGAGCATTTGCCTCTTGTGGAGTTTGCTTATAACAATAGTTACCATGCTAGCATTCGTTGTGCACCTTTTGATGCCCTTTACAGAAGGAAGTGCAGGTCACCACTTTGTTGGGAAGCAGTGGGTGAAAAGGTAGCTCTCGGACCAGATTGGGTTCTAAGGATGACTGAGCGTGTCGCTGAAATTTGGCAACAAATGCTAGCTGCACAGAGCAAGCATAAAAGCTATGCTGATGTTAGGAGGCGAGACCTAGAGTTTCAGGTTGGGGATCAAGTACTTTTGAAGGTTTCTCCTAATAAAGGTGTTGTGAGATTTGGGGTTAAAGGAAAGCTTAGCCCAAGGTATATTGGTCATTTTCCAATATTGGAACGTGTTGGAAAGTTGGCTTATAGATTGGAGCTACCCAATTCTATGAGAGGTGTGCATAATGTATTTCATGTTTCCATGCTGAGAAAATACCTACGGGACCCAGAGCAACATATGACCTTGGAACTAGAAACCATCAAGGAAGACTTGACCTTTGAGGTACGTCCTGTAAGAATTTTAGAGGAGGCTGATAAAGTCTTGCGACGAAGGAAGCTCAAGTATCTGAAGGTTCTTTGGACTAATCAGACAGAGTGGGAAGCGACTTGGGAGCTCGAGTCGAGAATGCAGTAGGGCTCCTTCCTGGCTCCTTCGGAGGAGCCGTACCAAATGTTTTGTACGAGGAGACATTTTTCAGTGAAAAATAGACGAGCCGGAGCCATTTTAGAGGAGCCCTCCTCATGAGGAGCCCTGCCAAACACTCCCTAAGTTGGTTGTACCATTTTTCTTGTGTGAAAAAAATCATGATAGAACTACCATATATTGTATTTAGAGAGTGATGTAGGGTCTATTTCATTCAGTTGTAGGCTATGAAAAAACTGCTGTGAGCTATGAAAAAGCTATTGTGAGTTGCACTATGAAAAAGATATAGGCTGTTTGATTGAAATAACTATAAAACCTGCTGTCGTGGGGTCGAAACCGCGGTAAGTATTGTTGTTCGTTGGGTGTCACAGAGTGTGAGGTCTCCTGTGGCTCGGGTGGACTCAAGAACATAAAGAACTTAAAGATCACACGGGGGACACAGAGGTTTATCCTGGTTTGGTCTATCGGGGCCCTATGTCTAGCAGTTTGATGATCTTTGTATTCAAGAGCACCCTAATCGGGGGGTTACAACATAATGTAAGAGAGAGATTTGGCAGGGGATCCTAGGCTCGTCGACGGTGAGGTCTCTTGATGAGGAAATCACTCCTTCGGATGCACCCGCTGATCCTCCAAACAATATGCAAGGTCCAATGACCCGAGCTCGAATGCGCCAGCTAAATTTAGAGGTGAGTTCGTTCTTAAGCGATCCTTTTCATACTTTTGAGAATAGACTACTACCTAATGATGTTATATTTCTTAGAAACATTGGAGAGGGTCATGAGGAACTTGGAGGAAGAGATGGAGGCAAAGATAACCAGCAAGGACATCCAACACAAGCCGGAGCCCTGGTCCAACATGAATTCGAGTCTGCCTTGGCCTCCAGGACTAGTCTGCCATAAACTGGTCACCCAGGACGCGTCTGGACTCCATTTTCGACGATCCACATATGGATGGAAAGATAATTTCATAAGAAAATCAATGGAAGTGGTCCCACATCAAAATCCTTTTAGAATCAACGGGAATCATTGAAACAATTGAGCGTCCAGAATCTATCAGGGTGCTGCGTCACCGTATTTGGTCCAATGGGCCGTGTATCGTCTTTGAGCCCGTTAGGGAGGGCATCCAGGGTAGGTGACAACCCTAAGACCTTTATAATCATATGCCGCCGACATCATTAGGTTTTGGGTTTTTCTTAGATCATTTTGTCCATTGACAGTCACCGTTCATCGGTTTGTGAGACCCCACTTTGAGAACTTAATCATACAATCTGCAGTTTGTCCTAGACTTTGAGCTACATACTTTCAAGTTTTTGCTTGTGTTCTTCGTTTCACATGCAGGGATTAGCCTTCTTGGCGAGATCAACCGGATTGGTGACACGGTTGATAACCAGAGGAGTTGTGGTGCTAAGGTTGCAGGGTTCGGGTCTTTCGATCTGAAGCCGGATCGATGTGTCATGCTACGCCTAAAATGATAGTTATCATCAACCTGACGGAAGATCAAAAATCACGTCCCCATCACTACACCACAACCCACCTTTCCCTACAATTATCTGTTGGTAAATCAAGGGTTTTGGCAACACATAATGTGTTGGCAATTCTTTACTTTTTTAGCGTCACTTAAACTGTCGGCAATAGTAATG